GTGCAGCCAATGGGTGGAGGGTAGGCGGCCGTCTGCAGGGAGACAGCAGAGGCCTGGAGCCCAAAGGCTGCTCCAGACACGGGCCCACGAGGCGCCGTGCTCACGCCTCCCCACCCACTGGAGGGAGCCCAGCTGGGCTGCTGAGCGCCTCACGACCTGATGGCGTCGTGTTTTAGGAGGCGTGGGGCTGGGTGCTGGGTCAGCCATGACCTCGCGCCGCTACCGGGGCTCCAGGGGGTGAGCCTGGGGTGCGGCCGGAGGGAACCCAGGAGCAAGAGGCCTCACGACAGAAGGACAGGGAGCGGGCAGCCCTGCAGGGGCCACAGGCGGAAGGCCCACCTGGCCCTGCTCTCCTCAGCCCCACCCCAGGGCCCGGCGCCTGGCAGTCCACGTGTCCCCTCAGCTCCCTGGCGGACACACGTCCAGACCGAGCCCGCTGCCCGTTTGCCCATCCCGGTCCACGTGTCTTGATCTCGTCTCTGCCCATGTTCTCGTCATTCTTCTGTTTTTCTTGTTTTTTCCTTTATTTTGGTCCTTTTGATTCTCTTCCCCCTTTCCTGGAATCTTCACATCGTTTTCTGTGCCGTGTGTTTGCCCATCCGGCCGCAGAGGCAAGGAGGGGGCCCGGGGTGGGGGGAGGGTGGGGGAGGACCCCGAACCTCCACTTGGAAGTTGCTTTTTCTGTTGCAGTGAAAGCTGCTCTGCTAGAGTCTACCTTAGAGCTGTCCTGACACTTGGTGGCAGGCCCCCAAGAGCACACCAAGCATTTAAAGGCAGCCCTACTCCCCCACCCCAGCTTTTCCACCTCCAGACGACATGGCTCTTGCCACGTGTCACAGACTGGGGCCTGCCCTCGGCGCGCCCATGGCCCCGGCTGGGCGGCCGCAGCTCCCCGCCAAGCAGGAGGATGGAAGGAGGCCCAGAGGCCTAGCTTGGAAAACAATCTGGGCACCACTGGAAATAAAACATGCATGTTTATCCCAAGCTCCTGACTTATCCCCCCACCCCACGTTTCCCCTTTGGTAATCACAAGTTTGTTTTCGACATCTGTAAGTCTGTTTCTGTTTTGTAAATATAAGATAGATAACCAACAAGGACCTACTGTACAGCACAGGGAACTCTGCTCAACATTCTGGGATAACCTATGTGAGAAAAAAATCTGAAAACGGATAGATAACATGTATATGTATAATTGAATTACTTTGATGTACACCTGAAACTAACACAACATTGTAAATCAATTATACTCCAATAAAATTTAAAAAGGATAAGACACATTTGACTAAATGCAATAAATTTTTGTATAGTAAAAAGACAAAACAAAAAAATTAAATTTGATAAATCCAAATGTGTACATTAAAAAAAAAAATGCAAACATTCCCTCTGCATCGTCACATCTGCCACACCCTTCTGTCTGGTCCCGGACACAAAGGCCATCAGGCTGCATACGGTGAAGGAGGGGAGCCCACGAGATCCGTGTGGACAGGGAGGCGACCAGGGCCCAGGGCTGCCCCAGGCTCCAGCAGAGTACCACAGGCCCGTCCACTCCCAGCTGAATCCCTGCACCCAGAGACGGCTCTGTTTACCTCACAAAGACGTCAGCAAGGTGGACCGTGTCACGTATTTGAAAGTGTGCACATTTTACAACACGACTGTTATCTGCACCGACTCACAGGGGACCCACTGGATGATGTGATGGCCGTGGGTTTGAGAGCAGCAGCCCTGGGTCTGGGGCTTGGTGCCCTGGCGTCACCGCTTCCCGCAGCCCGATCACTCTCCCCTCTCGTCCTGCAAACGACCAGCGTTTAAACACGTAGCTGTCCCCATTCTCGAAGCGGACAGCAGCCCTGCTGGCCCCTGCCTGCTGCGGGACCGTTCGCAGGCTGCCAACACGTCTGCCGGCTTATTCCTCCCCATTCTCTCTTGAACCCACTCCACCTGCTTCCCATGACAGCTGCCGTGTCAGGTTCCCCAGTGACCCCCATGCTGCCAGGCCAATGGGCTCTCAGCCCACCTGACGCCCCACAGCAACACTGACAAAGCAGACAGGCTCGCCAGCTTCCAGAACACCCCACACACCAGGCCCTCCCAGCTCCCGGCGGCCTCTTCCCTCCCCTTGGCTGGATCCCCTGCGCCCAACCTCACGCTGGGGCTCGGCCTCTGGTCTTCTCTCCAGGGACGCCGTTGGCCCAGAGCTCCGCACGCCCGTCTGCACCAGGAACACAGACTCCCACCTCCGCTCGCCTGGCCTGGACCCCACCCCACCCATCTCATGTCTCCAAGCATCTGGTTGGCTGGGCCACTTGACCACTTCACAGGCATCTCAAACTCAACCAAAGCCGGCTGCTCATCTTCCCGTCCCACCCCCCAGCCTCCTCCTCTGGTCCTTCGTGTCTCGGTAACCGTCCTAGTTGCTCAGACCAACCCACTGGGCCCTCCCTGGTTCCTCTCTCGGCCTCACACCTACTCTAATCTGTCAGTAAACTCGACGGCTCCATCTGCCAATCCATCCAGAAACCAACCACCTGCCGGCATCTCTGCACCAGCCCAGCCAGCGTCACCGGCACGCCTGCACCCCAGGCTGGCTCTCTCGCTGCTCTGCGTCTGCGTCTCCACAGGGACACATTAAATTATGTTGCAGGGAGTTCCGGTCCCTGATAAGATGGAGGAGGCTCTCCGAAAATGCAGCCACACGCGGACAGGACTTATGAACAGCTCTCTCCTGTCATTTCAGGAAAACGGAGGCTTGTTCTCTGGTATCCCAGCCTCCCGGGCGATTTTTGTGCGGCAGTGGGACAGTCTGCAGAAGCCTCAGACTGGGGGAGGGACACCTCCTCTCCAACTGCCCGGAGGCTATGTCCCCGGAGGGGGCCCTGCTCCCTCTCTCTGTTTTCCCACCGCTGGCTGGGCGGCTCCAGCATGGAGACGGTGCAGCAGAACAGGGGGAACAAAGACGCAGTCTGATGTGTAAAAAGGAAAGCACCAGAAAGATTTCAAGAGAGGGAGGAGCTCGTGAAAGCACCCCATAAAGTTGTTCAGGAACTCCTCAGTAATAGACACACAGCTTAGCAGAACAGGACGGTCCAGAAATAGCCCTGCACAAATAGGGCCAACTGACTTTTGACAAAGGAGCAAAAGCAATTCAATGCAGGAACTACGGTCTTTAACAAATGGTGCTGGAATACTTGGATATCTATAAGAAAAAAAAAAAACCCCACAACCAAAACCTCACACCTTATTTAAAAAACTCAAAATAGATCATAGCTCCAAATATAAACTGTGAAACTACAACTTTTAGAAGAAACATTGGAGAAAACCTTCCTAACGTTGGATTTGATTCCAATATTTCAATCTATATAAAAAAAAAGTTGGGTAAGTGGGACTTCAACGAAACTCAAAACTTTTGCTCTGCAGAGACGCTGCTAAAAGGATGAAAAAGAGAAGACAAAAACTGGGAGAAAATATTTGCAAATTACACAGCTGGCCAAGGACTTTTATCCAGAATATGTAAAGAACGTTCTAAATCTAATGGACTTAAACACAATAATTAACAATCGATGTAACTTTAAAAACGGGCTCCACCAAAGAGGACACGCGGGTAGATGGTGAGTTAAGTGCGCGGAAAGCCGTTCCGCATCACTGCAGGGAAGCACAAGTGACAGCACCCCATGCCCGTGGGCGGCTGAGAAAGCTGAGCACCCGCCCGCGGCCCCTCGGGAAGCAGTGCAGCAGTTTCCTCCCATAGAACCCAGTGCTCACACTGGTCAGCGCTGACCCTGCGGCAGGGCCTGCAAACTTTTTTGTAAAGGGTCGGACAGCAAAGATTTTAGGCGCTGAGGTTGCCTGGCCACTGCTGCACGTGTGCCGAAGCACATGAGTAAGGGCGGTGCTGCGTGCCAATAAAACTTTATTGACAGAAACAGGTGGTGGCAGGGATTTGCCCCCATGACCTCAGGCTATAGTTTGCCAACGCCTGCCCTGGAAAATGAAAACTTCTGTTTACACAAACACCCATACACAAAGATTTACAGCAGCCGACAGCTCCAGCAGGACTGCAGACCCCACGTGAGCCCAGAGCTTTGCCTCGGTCGCTGCGGAGCTGGAGCATCTAGCGCGGCGCCTGGCACACAGGAGGCGCTCAACAAACACGTTTGTTGAGGACTTTCATTAGCGCTGTTTTGCACTCCTCACAAACGCAGGTCTTCCCTGGAAGCAGAAATGCTGAAGGGCCTTAAACACCACCTGCACCCCAGGCTGGCTCTCTCGTCTGCGTCTCCACAGGGACACATTAAATTATGTTGCAGGGAGTTCCGGTCCCCTGCCTGCCCCTCCACCACAGCCCCGTCTGTCCTCCGCTCACCCACGGTCCCCACTCTGCCCACAAACTCTTACCCCTGAAAAAAAGAAACAAAACCCAGACGTGCCTCTCTGGGCTCACAGTGCAGCTAGAAACCACCACGCAGACACTCCGGGGACGACAGATGGCTTCAGCGTTTAGAACGAGTCCATTCTCAAGCTGAAGCCCGTTGTGAAAAAAGGACTACGCCTGACAGCCATCTCGGTACAGACGCGACACCTGGGCAGGTGAGGCCACGCCCAGAACAGACCCCTGGACCCGCGGGAGGAGGAATAGGCAAGAGTCCCGTGCTCAGAGTTTTAGGATCACCTGACAACGTGGGGTTTCAACAGGTAAGCGTGCTGCATGACCCGGGAACATGCATGTGACCTCCAGGCGATGAGGATGCCATCGGAGTAAAGGAACAGGACCCAGTGGGGCACCATGCCCGGGGACGGGGCCCAAGGCCGGCAGGAGACCCCTGGTCACTGACAGCGTCAGGGCTCCCCCAGACCAGGCCCGAGCATGGGCAGGTCAAGCCCAGGACGAAGCACGGGAGGCCCATCTGCCTTTTTTTCTGGGCCAGCACGGAGAAAATTAACAGAGACCGGGTGATGGGGCCATACCGGGGGCAGAGCTCCTGAAGAAAGAGCTGGAGCCCATGCAGCATGGCCCTGCTCCTTTTATTTCATTTTTAATCTTGAGAGAAAGATGAGTCAACATTATGGAAGCAAATTACAGTGAGACTCCCGACAGCCTTAAAAGCAAGAAGAGGAAGTAGGCAGTGACCAGGCAGAGGCCAGCCCGCGGAGCCCCAGCTCGGTCTGGGGACGGTGTTTCCGCTTCCATCAAGTGGAGGCTTCAGGTGCCAGTGGTCGGCTGGCAGATGCTCCGTCACTATTCACAGGTGCTCGCATCAGAGCAGAGTGATGCTGGCTCTCCCAGACGGGGCTCCGCCTGGAAAGCCAACACCCGCCACACGGCTGCCTGCGGCTGGGAAGCTGCCCAAGGACGGCCTGGCGGGTCAGAGCAGTATGTGGTACTTCAGCGCCCGGGGCACCCTGTTGATGACCAGCCTCCCGTCATAGCTCAGGGAGGCAAAGAGCCAGGGGTCGGCTGAGGACCAGTCCACGGCGTACACGCTGTCCTCGTGCTCCTCATAGGTGGCAATGACGCTGTCCTGGGGAGGCTCCTGGCTCCTATAAGGCACCAGAGACACGCGTGCGTGAGTGAGGCGGGCGCCCTGCCCAGCGGTGGCAGCAGGCCTGGTCTTCTCACCTGCGCAATCGGGCAGTCCCCAGGAGCCGAGGGGGCCAACGGGGGTGCCCCTGCGGGAGCCCAGAGCCATCCCGTCCCCAGCCGTGGGCCCTCGCGGCTCGTGGGGGGCCCCCTACCGCCTAACACCTCCCTCCGCGGCTCTGCAGCAGGACGTGCTCGGGCTCAGGGAACGGGGGCTGGGGAACGTTCATGGGGCTAAGTGGACAACAGCCAAAACTCCTGTGACGTCTGCCAGAGGGACCTGGGGACCGGCCGGCACAGGCCCCTGGGGTGGGCATGGGAAGCCCTGCTCAGGACGAGGGTGAGGGGCCGGCAGGCCCTGGCCTGGGCTGTGACACCTCCCGGCACCCCGTTCACATGAGAGTCGCTAGCCCCTTCCCTGGGACGCCTGCCCGGGCGGTGCTCACGTGCGCAGCCCTGTGTGGGAGCATGTGGAGCCGGGCCGCCCGCCTGGGCCTCCGAGGTCACAGGCCTGCCACGTGCCGGGCTGCTTCTCCACCCAGCAGGGCCTCCTCAGCATTTTTCTCCCCATTTCGTGGCTCTTTCTACCCAAGGAGCTCTCAGCAATCTGGGACTTTCCCCAGGAGACAGCCCGCTCCATGTGCCCCCCGGCTCGGACCCTCAGGCATCCCACGGCCCGACCCTCCCAGGAAGCCAACCTGCGGTGGCCAGCAAATGCCCGGGTACAGACACCGCATACAAGTCCTCAGGGGACTCCCATTCTCCTGAACTCACTGAGACATGGGGACCAACCCCAGGAGCAGGCCTGCGGGAAACCGTGGAGGCACCTCGCACCAGTGCCGTTGCCCGGCACGCCTGCCAGCCACATGTGCCTTCCTTCCTAGTGCACTTCTCTGAAGCTGCCCACGTGCAGGCAGGACCCCTGGATTAACACACGGGGCCAACGAAGGGGCCACCAGCTCTGTTCCCGGTACAGACAGGGCTCGGACGCCTGCTTGGCCGTGAGAAGAGAGGACAGTAGAAAACATCCAAGCCCTGCACGTGGTAGGTTGCCGGACTGAAGCCGCTGCAACTGTATCTAAATACTCAGTTTGAACAGAAAAATGATTGTGTTTCTCTCTCGAGAGACAATCGGTAGACTGCCACCAGCCAGCTTCTCACACAGGAATTTTAGGCTCATCTCAGGTGGGCAGAGGAAGAAATCAGACAGCAGAAGTGTGAAGAGTCTCCAAACAGAACGACAAACCCCTCTCGTATTTTACGGCTCAGACCACTCAGCTCGACAGGGTTTTATTCCAGAACCTCCTCCCCTGGAGGCGGGAGACTCAACTCCACGATCTGAATCACAACAGGAAGCAGCCGCCGCACACGAAGGTGCATCTACTCCAGGAACAAGACGTGTCTCCTTTACACCCACGCTGCTGACAAAGGACACGGGCTCACCCCGCCACCGCTGCCCTGGACCAGGCCGCCCTGTGTGAGCCCCGAACCCCAGGACCCCACAAGTCTTGGGGTGCGACCCCATTGTGAAGAGAGAGCCTCCAAGCAGAGCAATTAGGATTGGAAAGAGTTTGGAAAATACTCAGCCAACATGGTGAAGCCGTGGGAACAGTCAGCGAGGTTTCCCGCACGGCGCCCAGCGTCTCGGGGGAAGCAGTGCGGGGGGCCGGGCCAGGTCTGGGCCCGAGGTCCTCGCCTTGACACCTTCCAGCGAGGGTGGCCAGTCCACGACCCGATCCAGGACGGCACGGCCAGGAGGGACGCCCGCCACTGCCTCTCCCACAGGGTGTTACGAGGGCCGGCGGAGGTCGCTTCTCACTCCCCAGGGCTGCAGACGGGCCACGGTCCTCACAACCTTACGTGTGACGCTCAGTAAGAACGTGGACAGACACGCGTTTCAGAGGCCACAGCGGACGGCGCGGCTCGGCTGCCCTCCCCGACTCCGTGACTCCATGGCCCGCAGCCAGCCGCAGGGACCGAGCCACGCCCACAGCCACGCCCATGCACCGAGAGCCACTGCACCGGAGCGCGCTCACCTCTCCTCTTGCTCGCTCAGGTCGTCGTCATCCACCAGGTGGCCGAAGGGCTCGGAGGAGATGGACACCATGTTGGAAAGGATGACCCTGCTGTCACTGCTGCCCGTGAGGACGAGCTGGTCGTGCGAGTGGTTGTATCGGACGCCCCACACCCTGTGGGAGGACAGGGAGGCCGGGTCCCACCCGCTCGTCTATCAGTGGGTGGCTCCCAGCAGGGGCAGGCGCGCGGCACGGTTCTGAAACCTTCTGAATCCCGACTAACGGAGACCAAATGGCAGCACGGATCCCAGGGGGGAGGTTTACTGCTCAGGAGCCACACAGGCTTTCCAGAATTCTAAAGGCAAAGGCTGCCCAAGAAGCAAAATACGGACTAGAGAGAACCTGTGACATAGGTCGCACCCCAGGGCAGCCTCCCAAGGGCTGCTCTCTGGCCGGGTCACTAGGCCCAAGAGCTTGTGAGCTGGGCCGCCCGCCGGCGGACCCAGGGGACAGCGGAGAGCCGGACTGCTGCTCGGGGCCAGGGGACGGAGCGCCTCCCCAGACCGCAGGAATTACGGCCACTCACTGAACCTGTCCAAACCATACTCCAGCATTCAGGTGGTAAATACACACACACACAGATATGCACATGCACACAAGTGCACACACACACAAGCATACACACCCATACGCATGCACAAAGAAGCATACATACACCAGTACACACGAACATGCACACATGCACAAGCACATGCATGGAGACAAACACGTAAGCACACACACATACATACAAGCACACACAAGCATGTACACACAACATGCCTTATTTGAATAAAAACTGCCTCATACTATGCACGATTTTCTATGACTCGATCTCTTTCACTTAGCAAAAAGTAGCCAGCACATGGCATATACGTAAAAACAGCGTCTCAGGGAGAACGGCCAGTCTGGGGCACTCTGCATGTCCCTGCACACGGCCATCCCGCACTCCCTCTGAGAGTGGCGCCATCCCCGCTGCAGTGACGCCACTGGACGGACTTGACCAATCCCCTGCTGCCAGGCCCTGGGCAGCTCCCGGCCTCCCTGCGCTGTGCACAGTGCCACGTGGACATCTGTGCATGCTCATTTTTGCCTATTTGAACCGGCACTATTTCAAGAGAAAACAGAATCTAGTGTTTTCCTCCTTTTCCTATGTTTACGAATCACAAACATTCAGAGTTGGAATTAGCGTTCCTTTAGGAAAAATAAAACAGGGTTGATTGAATGATTCACAGCAGCACAAACTAAGCTGGTTTGTGCCTTTCCAAACGGTGAAGTAATTAGCAAAATAAATTGCCTAAGCCCCTCCCCCAAGCGGCCGCGAGGAACGCACCAGTGGGAGTGCTCCTCCAGCGTCTTGACGGGCTCGGTGACGTTGCGGGTGTCCCAGAACTTCACCCTGCAGTCATCCCCGCAGCTGGCCAGGTAGTACTGCTTGTTGGGGTTGAAGTCCAGGTCCCGCACCAGCTGACCGTGTGCACTCTCAATGCAGTAGATTTGGCTGTGCAGGGGCGGAGGGGATGGGCACAGGTAAGAGGTGGGATGAGGGAAGCCAGTGACTGCACCCTGCACCTTCTCCCGGACGCCGTCCAGCGCAGGATCCAGGCGGGGCGCTCCTGTGCGCAGGCCACGCCTGCGACCCTGCAGAAGGGTGGCTGGTTGGCGGCGCTCAAAGGTGTGACCTGGAATCTTGAGGATGAGAGCGATCTGGAGGGATGAGACTGCCACGGAGAAGCAGAGACAGACTCCGGACAGAAAGGCTGACCAACGTCTGGAAGGACGCAGTGAGACAGAAGGAAAAGGGAGGGGCTGGGAAGCGGAATACAGCGCTGTTGGTGTCGGGAGATGGAGACAGAGAAAGGAAGGAAAGGTTGGGAAAGCTGTAGAAACACCGAAGGAAACAGTGCTCATCACGGCTGGGCCTCATCCTCGCACACAACCCAGTGCCGACACTGGGCGAGGGCGGGCATGGGGCCGAATCGGTCCCACCGCTGTTCAGAGCTCACGTGTGCCCATACGTGTGCATGCTTGCACGTGTGTACACAATGCACAAGCATGCACACGCATGGGTACCTATGCCCACGCATGCACGTGTACACACCCACATGTGGGTGCACCAGTGTGCACAGAGGTGCAGGCACACATGCACACACAGACCTAACTGAAGCCCCGCCATCCACCTCCAGGCTGCTCCTTGCAGGGTGTGGAATCAGAATATTCCATCTCCTACAGCGACCCCCTCTGATATCACAAACGCAAACCAGAGGTGCAGGTCACCTGAGGCAGGACAGTGGCTTCAGACGAAGAGCTTGTGTCCCAGCAGGATGGACAGGGGCCCCCGCCAGCCCCAGAGCCGGCCCCGCGAGACGCCCCGTCCACGCTGCCCGCTCCACTGCCTCCCTCGGCTGTGACTTCACCTCTCCTGCAAACACTGGACCTCGTGCTCTGCACGGCTCCCACTGGGACTGCTCCCGTAACCAGCTCCCTTGCCCGAAACCAAGGTCTCCACAGTCCCATCTCACGCCAGATGACCTTAGTCCTTTTCATCTTTTCTCCCATGTTGGGTTTTCTGGCCCCAAACCACTTTTAAATCTTGAACCGGTTTTTACATCCTGAACCTTCCCAATAGCCTAATATTTTTTCCTAAAATAAGATACCCGAACCTTAAGATCTTCCGAGTGAAACAGGGAAATGAATAAAATTAAGCCCGGCGAGGTCCTAGGGAGCTGGGGGGAGTCACACAGGCAGAGAGTATCGACTCAGGCTTTCCTGGGGCTCTGGGGGCAGCGATCTGAATACAAAAGCACAATACATTCCAGAAGCAGCACTGAAAGCACCAACACCCAGGCTGTTTGCAGAAGAGACACAACGCCAAGGAGAAGAGCCCCTGGGTCGCCTGCTGCCCATCCCCCCCCAGGGACGGCAGGCAAGGGGGCAGCAGGGCGCTGCCTCCCAGGGCCCCTCCTGCCGCCTGGCTTTGGGGTCTGTAATGTCAGTCTTCAAGGTTCTCATCTAGATACCGAAATCTACACATCCTTCAAAGAACAATGAAAACGGAAAAAGATAGCCACAGGCCCTGGAGGAATGGATTCCAGTCCCGACATCCAAGCGCACAGCTTTCAGCTTCCGATAGGAAACCCAACAACCCCCCCCCCCCCCCCCCCCCACAGACACACACACACACACACACACACACACACGTCGAATATTGATTACCCCCTGCGCTTTCAGAGGGGCCGTGGACCTAGATTTAAAGCTGGGTCCCCACCCTCAAAGGCAACACGAGCTATTTCACGACATCCATCTTTGTGGCTTAGTGATAAATTACGGTGTGCTGAGGGGATAAACTGTATCTTAAAAAAGACTGCAGGGCCCTGTTGCCATGACAACAGTGTGCACACCACCACTCCTTTGCTGTCAACGCCACACCTGGCACAGAAAAGCAGCTCTCCCATGTCCCATTAGAAGCACTAGCTGTGTGTGTAATGACTTAAATGACAAACTACGACCGCCCCATGGGTGTGCATCTTGAAGGTGCAGAGATGGTCGAGCTCCATGCTTAACCAGGGGACGGCAGCCCTCACCTTGTGGTCGCCGACCATGGAGACCGAGAGTCTGCGGTCACCACCTCAGGCCTGAGCTGCTACAAAAGCCTGACCTTGATCTCCACCGGAGACCGCCGCTGCCGCCGAAGGGCGCCCACAGGAACAGGACCCACGGCGCGGGTGCACTCAAGATGGGGCGGAGAAAGAGGACAAGGCGTACGACTTCCCACAAGCCCGAGGCCAACACAGACAAGCCACATGGCCTCAGCACACGAGCCCTGGTGGATGGGCGCGGGGGGCAGGGAGGGGAGGGACCGTCACTGACCTCATGGTCCGCGTGTCCCACCCTCGGACAGCCGTGTCGTTCGCCGTGGCCACCTGGGTGCAGTTGTGATGCGGGCTCCACCGCCCCGTGGTGAACTTCAGCTGTCCCTTCCCTTCCAGGGACGCCGAACTGGCCAGCTGCAAATTGGGTGATATTTTCAAAGGAAGAAGAAAAGACAAGTAATTTGAACTCTATTCAGAGCATTTAAGAGGATATCTTGTATAGGCTATCGTTGAAGATAATTACTGAAAATAATTAGGAAGCTCTGTCTTTGTTTCCTCCCCTTAGAAGGCAAGAATGTTTGAACCTTATTTGGAAAAAAAAAATATAAAACTGAACACAGCAAAAAATAGAAGGCACGTTAATAGAGCCTCTATCAGACAGGACTTGCCAGTGTGGGATTAGGGAGAATCCGCTCAAATCTGAAGACAACACGCACCAGCTCCGTCTGGCTTCCTCCAAAACCAAGGACGAGGCCCGCCGGTCCGCACGGCCAACCCCAGGTGGAGGAGGACAAAAGGCTGCGACCCACCCAGACGTGTGCTCAGACGTGTGCCCTCCCCTCCCTGCCGCGAGGATCTCGGCGTCCGTTACTCGGGGGTTAACTAAACCCCAACAGGTAACGGACGGCGGAGACCCTCGAGACCACCAGCGCAGTCGAGGCCGGGCCCTGGTGCAAGCCTGGGAGAAGGGCCCCCTCCGCCCCCGACCCCGCTGCCCCACCGGCCCTCCCGCTTGCCGTCTACGATCTTATGCACAAAGGCCTATCACGCGGTGGCGTCTGGAGGCAGGAGGGCTCCAGGCTTGTCTGTGGTCCTCAGGTTACTCGACCCTCCGTGATTCACTTCACTTTACCCTGAACACTAGCCTCGCCCTGCGGACCCTCTGAGAGGGACCTGGGCACGGCCACGGCAGCACTGGACAGAGGCCCGAGGGTGTCATCGGGCTCCAGACTTGGCCCCGGCCGGGGTGGGCGCACGGAGTGGGCGGTCAGTGCGAGGGGATGGAGCAGAAGCCTGGGGAAAACAGCCAGTTTCCGCTCCAGAGAGCCTGGCCCAGTTAAGAAGCCTGACAGCGGGCACGTCTTTAAAAACGACTTCCGAGTGAGAGCTCCACTTACTCTAGCACCCACTGCAGCAGAGGTCGCCCAGCCAGGACACGCTGACCAGCCGGCAGCGGCAGCTCGCCTCTCTCGGTTCTGGACAGTTTCGTGTCTCAACCTGCCCCAGAAAAATCCTTCTCCCAAAAACCCATTTTCCTGTCTCACTGATTCAGCAAATCACGTGGATGATGGGCCTCTGAAGTCCTCGCGGGCGCACACGCCCCCCTCCCGGGGACTGAAGGGCTAGAGCTGACGGGAGGAAGGAGGACGGGTGTCTGTGCCCGTGAGCACGGGGGGAGGGACGGGAGGGACATGTCACATCTCTAAGGAGACGCGCAGGCGGCTCCTGTGTCGTCCCAGGTGCCTGCCCAGCTCCTGGGCCCCAGCCCTGCCCTCCCCCGCCCCACCCCCTGCCCACAGCCCAACGAGGCAGCGGAGGAGAGAGCCCGCCCCCTGGAAAAGCGGGGGTTCTTGTTCTATAAGACCCCAGTTAAAATACCTGTTCTGCCATTACAGAACGAGCACCACTTATTAATCTCCTCTCCACAAAAGTTAAAGGGTTAGTCTGGTCTGGGCGAGACATGTGTGTTGTGTTAGTGTCGGGGGGACCCAACCAGGCACGGCGGCGACGGAATGAAACAGGGGTGCCCACCCGCACCTCAAGGAGGAAGTGCCCGCGCTCTGGGCACTCCCAGGGCTCACATTCAAGCTGCCAGGGAGCCTCCAGGGAGCAGCCATCACCCGAGACAGGCCCCGGGGTGCCTGGAGTGGGGAGAAGGCGCAGGGAGAGCGGCCACGCCGACAGCTCAGCGGGGGAAGCGGGGCCTCGAAGGGGGACACACCCCCAGGAAGCTCCCAGTGGCCACGCAGAGCCGCACCCAGCAGCGCTCCGCCCGTGGAGCATGCCCGATGGCGGGCGCAGAACTGAGCCTGGCCGAGGACAGCGCCGCGGGGCGAGAAGAGCCAGAGGCCGGGCGAGACGTCAGGAAGGACAGAGCGGCTGAGGGACAGAAAGGGGACCGCCGGCCAGCAGGGCCTGGGTGCTCCCACGGGACCTGGCAACACCTGCTGCCCAGGCCGCGGCTCAGGCCACCTGGGCAGAACCGGGCCTGAGCTAGCTTGGCAGAGAGGGCCACGTCGGGGACCCAAACCCAGGGCCTTCCCAGTGCCTCCCCTCCAGGCCAGCACCCTCACGGCCACCCATGGAGCGCCCGCGCCAGACACCCCACAAGAGGGCCCCACGGGGAACCCCACTGACCCTCAGTCTCACCCCCAATCTCCTGGAGGATGTCGACTGGCTCACCCGGGTGGGGAGCCCGCCGGGAGGGGTCAGCAAGGGCCGAGGGGCTGGGGGCGGCGGAGGGTCTGCTCCTCTGATGATGGGCAGTGGTCCCGCCCCTTTTCCCCTGCATCACGGGCCACGGCTTCTCCTTCTCTCGTCATCTGAGCAGCAGAGGCAAGTCAGCCCAGGATCAGGGGTGCCATCGCCTTCAGGGGCACGTGGGGGGCACAGAGCGTGGACAGGTCACAGGGAGGAGGCCCGGCCCCCAGGCAGGACGCAGAGGGGACCACACGGTGCGGCCGCCGCAAAGCCACGGAGGAGAAAGGGACGGTGGCAGGAGCCTCACAACGCAGGACCTGGACTCTCAGCCACAAGGGACGGCCGGTGAGCTGGTGTGGGCAGAGGGCATCTCGGCCCTGCCCGCAGCAGTGACAGGCACAGCCTCCCGAAGAGGGACAGCGGCACAGAGCCCCATACCCTGAAATGGGCCTAAAACACGAGCATCAGACACACAGGGTGAGCTTTTCCACACGGGGCTTCGGCTTTCCCAGCTGTGCTGGACGTCTAACATCCCCAGACAGCACCAACCAAGAAACAGTTTTATGGCCTCTCCTTTAGGGGAAAAAACTAGCCCAAAGAAACATGTACAGGCGCCATTTCAGTTTTCTGAAGACTAGTTAAGTAAGATCAACAATCAGGTACATAAAACGGTTGAGTATACAACTCAGCCGTAAAAGAGCGAAATTCTGCCTTTTGCAGCAACATGGATGGACTTGGGGGGTATCATGCGGACAGAGAAAGACAAATACTGCATGACATCACTTATATGTGGAATCTAAAAAATACAGCAAACTAGGGACTATAACAAAAAAGAAGTAGACTCACGGGTATAGAGAACAAACGAGGGGTTCCCAGTGGGGAGAGGGAAGGGGAGCGACAATGCAGGGGGAGGGGATTAAGGGGTACAGACTATTATGTATAAAATTAAGCTACAAGGATGTAGTGTACAACACAGGGGATGTAGCCAATATTTTATAATAACTATAGATGGAGTATAACCTTTAAAAATCGTGAATCACTACATTGTAAACCAGCTATACTTAAATAAAAAAAGGTTCAGTATATTTTCTAACTAATCAACATTCAGTGTTCTAATTAATTTTCTATCAAACACGTGGATTCATTATCAAACTCTTCAGAAGCATGAACACAAGGTCCTATCATCAGAAGACAGGCACGGTAAACTCAGCGAGTGAATTCTTGAACAGGCTGCTGTGGGAAGCACCATGAAGCGTGCCAAGCGGGGAAGATCCGTAACAGTGCGCGAAGCACTCAGGTCGGATCCTAACAAACGACACTGCCAGCAAAGCTCTCTGTACTTGCTCTACTCTGACTCCATCCGGGCTCAAGCAGAAGTTAAATCAGCAAAACTTAACACGCACTGTCTGCTTCCAAAACCCACACTGAGAAACAGCCCGCGAGAAACCCAGGCCCTGGGTCCAACCGCATCCTGCCACAAACGCGTCCGTGAGCTCGGGAGCAGGTCCTCCCGGTAGAGCCCTCGGATGAGACGCCAGCCCCACTGACACCTGGCCTGCGGCCTCACGAGAGACTTGAGGTTGCGGGCTCTTGACTCTCCCCGCAGAAACCACATGATGGCCATGGTGGGCAGCGGGAAGCACTAACTGGGTGGTCATTTGTTAGGAAGCACAGATAACTGATAAGGTGTTAACCTGAGGCAGGGGAGACTCCGAGCGAACTCAGTAGCTGAGAGGCAGCCCCTGCCCAGCCCCCTAGTTCACAGAGAGGGTAGGTGTCACAGCCGCAGTGCAGAACAGGACCAGCTCCAGTTCCAGCTCCACTGTACAGTCTAGTGCAGGAAACACCAGGGCAACAGAACGCCATGCCCACAGGTGCCGAGACGTCTGCAAGGTAGATTTTAATGAAAACCTGGAAGAGATCTCACCATCAATTTTTAAGGTGCTACCCAGGGCAGCCAGCATGGTGCAAGTCGTAAGGTTAATCAATCACTTTTTCTGCTTTCCTGGTGAGACAGAGACAGAACTCAGCAAGAACTCCAGAGGGTGCGATGCACACAGTACTCTGCTTCCCAGCATTAAAGAGAAATATTCAGTGCTTCCCAGTCCAGAAGGAATGATTAAAGGCTCCCCAAATCCTCTCTGAAGGAGTAACTAGTGCAGGACAAGAGCAAGAGAGGCACCTTCTATGAACAAAATGCTGTGACTGGAGCCTTCAGGAGCGGCTCAAGGGAGGCATGAGTTTCCAAAGACCAAAGCTGCACCCCCGCCAACAAGCCCCACGGAGCCGACAGGGGACCAGACCTGGGGAGGGGGCAGGCCTAGAGGACGCGGGACCGAGCATGTGCTCATCAGCACTGAGGGTGATGCAGGACCAGAGGGGACAGAGAGCGCCACCGCACCCCCTGGAAGGAGAGCCTCGGCGAAGCCACAGCAGGGCTGCAGCTTTCGAGCGTCAGAGACATAAAGTGTCCACGCAGGCAAGCCCACCGCATGCCCCGGCCCAAGCTGCCGGGAGACAGCAGCTTGTCACACAGCAGACGCCACCACCACCGGAGCCCCTCTTCCCGTCAGACCCCACAGCACCCCCGGGGACTGAGACGGCCCTGAGCCAGGGCTGATGGGCTTGCTCCCCTTGCCAAAGACGGGTTTAGGCCTGGACACATGGTCGTGCCTGAAAAGGGGACAGATGGACTTCCAGGAAAGGCTTTCCTT